GAGGCATCTCACGGTCCCTCTGCTTGCTGCCTCACTGCTCCCATGCTGGGTTCCTTGCTGAGCTCCGGGTTTTCCAGAGTGTTTACTGTGCGTTCGGAGCCCAGCAGTGCCTTGGGGTGGCTCATGGAGTTCTCCACCCCACTGCCCTGGCCTACAACTCCTCTCCTTCCATGTGGTCATGTAGGTGTGGAGGGACCATCCTCACCTTGAAAGTTCTCTTGTTTTGATGCTACGGGATACTTGAATCGGCCTTGTCTAGACACCAGCAGAAGGAAAGAAAGGCTGTAGCAAGCACGCTCCTTTGGAAAAGAGAAAATTTGTCTGTGCTTTTTTTTTTTTTTTTAAAGTGTCACTCTCCTCCTGCACCTTCATAAAGTACCTGACATTTTAATTTTTTCTGATAACGTTTTAAAAAACTCTCTGCAGGAAGGTCTCCCTGCAGGGTTGGTGGGGAGATATAAGGATGCAATAACGTAAGGGCTGAGAGAGGGTACACTGCTCCCGGTTGTCCCCCCCTGCCGGAAGGGCAGGCCCAGGCTGTACCCCTCACCGCCTCTCCTCTCTTGCACAGTACGTGTTCGACTACCAGGACAGGGATGTCTTTGGCTGCGTGGCAGACATTGGCTGGATCACAGGGCACACCTATGTGGTCTACGGCCCCCTCTGCAATGGTGGCACCACAGTCCTGTTTGAGAGCACTCCCATCCATCCTAACCCTGGTGAGTGAGAAGGTGCCTTGGGGGAGCTGGGGACATGCCACAGCCACCCTGCGAGACGCACAGCAGGCAGGGAGCTGGTGGCTTGATGCCAGGACATAGGCAGCAATGGTTCTGCTGCCACAGGAGCAGACTGCAGGCTGTGCCCGTTGGAGAGCTGTGAGGGGAAGAGTCTTTCCCTCTGGTTAGGAAGCCACTGCTGCTTCTCCAGGCGTAAAGCTGTTTCTCCCTGTCCCTCCCTGCAGCAGAGCAAGCTAGGCGATGCGGAAGAAAAGGGGCCACTGCTGCTCCTGGACTGCTTTAGTCCTTCTCAGCGTGGGATTTGCTTGGCTGAGGGTCCAAACACTGCTAGAGAGCCCTTGCTCTCACCTCCTCTCCCTCTATCTTGGTCTCCGGCTGGGAGGACCTGTGTGGATGGTTACTGGCCCTGTTTCCATTCCAGGCCGCTACTGGGAAACAGTGGAGAGGTTAAAAATTAACCAGTTCTATGGAGCACCCACCGCCATCCGCTTGCTCCTG